AGGAGGCAGCCTTGCTCCAGTTCATCATCAGGGTGATGGATTAGCTGGTCCAGGAGCCAGAAAAGGGGCCCCCATCTTTGCATGTGAAGAAATTCACAAAGCCTTGAAGGGACTTCAGGAGTCCAGGTGCCCAGGATGGCATCTTGGGGCAGGAAGGCGGGGCGGGGGGCGCGCTGATGAGTGGCAGGCGTAAGAAATGCACAACCTTACCCCATTCCCTGCTAGAGATTCAGACCACCGGGGAGCGGGAGCGGTGAAAACAACAGTGGCGGTGGGAGGGATGGGAGAGGGACGCCCAGGTCTCCTCGAGGAATCTGCCAGTCGTCCGGGACTGGCTGCACTGACTGGGGGTCTTGGGCCACCGCACCCGTGATTGTCATGAGACACTGGGAAACACTTTACAAATATGATGAGTGCTATGAAGTCACTCACCTCCTAAGCCACCCCTCAGGGTGCCCTTCAGATCCAGCTGGGAAGCATATCTGGACTCACAGACATCCCTCCTTCCCTCAAGACCCACAGCATCCTGGCACCCTTCCAATGCTCTGTATTCTCATCACCCGCCCGTCCCCACCAGGCCACAGGCTCCTACACATCTGCAGGACTGGCGTGCGGCCAGGGGACACACACCATGCTCAGCAAACACTGACGCTGAGTGGCCCCGATGGCCTTGTTGTTGCCTGAAAACATGTGTGAACAACAGAACCCTGAGGTCAGCCAAGTGCACGCCAGCAACATGTAGGTCATGAGCAATGATGAGTCACTTGTGCAGTCACTAACCACACAAGTGAAAGCGACTTGTGACATGAACTAAGTACAGAAGCCCAAGCTTCTGGACGTTCTGACCAGCTGCCACAAGAGGGCGCTCTCGGCTTGCAGACCAGCTCGGACGCCTGGCCAGTACCTTTGGTTATCTCCCTGTTGTCACTGAGGCCCCCGCAGAGTGAGATCGCGATGGACGGCAGGTCCCGCAGGCCGTCTGAGGTGCTCTCCACGCCACTGTCAACGCCAGAGCTGCCCACGGACTGCGGGGACTGGTTGGCTGACCGGGTTCCGTTGTCAGCCTGTTTGGGGAGCCCAGAAGGATCTCCGCTGGAAGTAGGAAGAGGGAAAGGGGTGCTGAGGCTTCTCCTTGTCTGGGTCCCACACAGACACCCCCTGACTCCAGCAACCTGCTACCCCTCAGAGCAGCCGGAGACTTCATCTAAGACAGACTTTTCATGAAAGCATCATGACAAACAGGCAAGTGACATGAATTACCTTAGGAGAGAAAACTATTTTTTGCCTATTACATCTCCTTGCAGCCCCTCCCACACCCATGTGAAATGAACTGAAGAGAAAACACACTGTCCTAAGAGGCCACAGCTCTGCACTTTCACCCCAAGAAGCTGGCCCTCCCTACGAATCCCGGGAGGAGAACCGAAGAGGGGGACCCCTCCTGGAGAGGGTGAGAACCGAGCAGCTGTCTGCTTTTTGCCTCTGGTTCGGGCTGTGGGCCAGTGACCAGCGCGACCCAGCCTCGGTGTCATCAGGGGAGATGGCCTTGCGCCTGCGTTCCTGTGCAGAACGCGCAAAGCCAGCCACACAGAGATGCCCACACGCTGACGTCTACAGAGGAAGTCCATTTTTCCTTGTTGCTTTTCACAGCAAAAGGTGGGCCTCCCGTTGCCTTCTCTTACTTTCTAATCAAATGGAAGGCAAAAACGGCCCCACACAGATTAACTATTCAGATTGTAGAAAATGATATGAGGAATGAAAGGAAATTTTACTTTTTGGGAAAATACAGGGCAGCCACTTCGGGGTCCATGTCTGTGAGGTCATCCAGGTAGACGCCATCAGCACCAAGATGCCTGCTCCGTTTGTCTAAAAGAGCAAAGGGGTCCAGTCAGAACACCGTTCTTCCAGAAACAACCCATGGACTTCTGAGCATCTCTGAAAAAAGCGTTTAAGCACGGTGTGCGAATTTACTCAGAAGTGCCCAAACCGGCCCCAGAACCCCACTGGCAGAAGTCGGCACTACAGCACTGCTGCAGAGGCAGGCACCCAGGTCTGTATGGGGCGCCGCCATTCACCAACTGCATGACCTTGATCAAGTTACATAACTGCTGAGCCTCAGTTCCCCATCTGTGAATGCCTGAAGTGCACTAAGCAATCACCATATTAAAGCGATCACCATCGTTATTCTTCTTCTTATTATTATTAAATGATAACGCTTTCATTAAGCACTTCCCCATCAATACGCTAGAGTACAGCATCCTAAACGGTGCCCTGTCAGTCACTGCGCACCACGGCTGCAGACTTCCTAGTGACTTCTGGCCGAGAAGGACGTCACTGGTTCATACAAATCTAGAACACTACAAAGCGCGTGGCTAAGGGATGAAGATGACATCATCGCTCCTGACAGGCACGCTCCTGGGTGCAGCAAGCGAGGGTTGAGGGAGCACCTACTATGTGCCGAGAATTACTGTAAGCATCAAGGAGACAAAGCTAAACCAAACCAAAAAGATTCTTGATCTCCTGGAGAGCGTGTGTTCTTGCAGGGGCGTCAGGCAAAACAAAGAAACAAATGATCCTTGGAAATGTGATAAGCAGAGATTTAAACAGTCATGTGCTAGAGGGAAAGGGGACCAGGACTGGCTTAATAATCAGCTTCTCACGGCACCCCAGAACGTGCTGTAAAGGACGTGCCCCCTCTGGATCCCAGCACCCCTGAGCAGTAAAACGAGGAATTCACTGCACGACCCCCAAAGCCCTCTTTACGTCTGATTTTCTATGATGACATTCTCGTAACTAATACATTCAGCAAAAGGGCACAGGCTGAGCATGACCTCGATTGTGTTCTGAACTTTGGAAGGAATCACGGTAATTGGCAGAGCACCGCGTCCGCACAGCAGGAGCCCAGCCCCAGGCTCTGCACCTACCTTTTCTCCTAGAAGGCGANCCTATCTTGCTCTTGACAAGCAGGGTCCGTTCCAGGATCTGGGCAACCTGAAGTCCAGCTCTCCTTACAGACCCACTTACAATGCAGCTCACACGCTCCTGCACCGGCTTCCTACTTCCAAGGGTAACGCTAACTTGACCCAGATTTTCTGGATGAGGATCATCAGAGAGGGTCAAGTGACAGGCTATCAGACTCAGCAAAATAAACCATAATTTCATGACTAAACATGAAGGGCCATGACTAGGGAGACAAATTTAAGCTAAGTGTAAAAATATGTTTCCCTCAGTAGCCACGTTTTTAATGGTTTTTATACTGACACACATTGGAAGCAAGCAGTCTACCAGGCACATCTCATGTCCAAAAGCACATAAGTCACACCAGATGCTGCCGCACGCCAGGCCTCCCCCACTCGCCACGCAGCTGCACGGGGCTGCAGGCTGCAGGGCCGCGCTCGTGGCATGCACGGAGTCTGGGCTTGTCCGTCATCTATTCTCACTAAACACCATCATGACGAGCCTGGGATCCGTGCTTCCTGGCTGCTCATGAAAAACAGGGTTCAGGGGATGAGCGTTGTGCACCCGTGGCAAAGAGGACATTGTGAGCGCCATGGGCCCTGCTACCTGGAATTCTCTAAGTCCCATCCCCAGGGCTTGATTCAGGAAATGCATTTGAGGAAATAACCAACTCTCTCTAAGCGTGGACACACCCCTGCAAGACTTTGGGTCTATCAGCCATGTACGACTCAGGATGAATTAGACCCATCAGGCTGCCTCCCTCAAACACTTGAACACAGGAACCTCCAGGGCTTCGTCAGAGAAGACAAAGGGGCAGTGATGTTGAGCCGGCCTGGACAGGCGCCGATGTCAGGGTGGAAACGCGGGGTGTCAAAAGGGGAGGTGGCCAGGGGGCCGCAGGCACTCTGGGATAGAAAAGGTGGCAGCAAGTAGAAGCGGGAGCCAGAGGGCAGGAGGGACACCGTCACACACGCCGAGTGGGGTGGCCATGCCGTGGCCGGATGCTCACCAGCTGCTCCGAAGTGAGCCGGAGGGTCTTCTTGTAGCTGACGTTGGACAGCAGAGGGAGGTGGCTTGCACCTGACGGCTTGGCGGCTGCATGCTCTTCATCACTGGAGGATGATTCATGCTTTATTCTAGAACACACAGTGATGTAATCACCAATTAGGAAATGCATCTGCGTGGCCATTAAAAATGCATTAGGCCGGAATCAATGAGGGAGCCGACGGGCTCTCTCCTGAGCACTGTCTCCTGGGTGGTCATTTACCATCTGCCCTTACATTTATCAATGAACTCGCACCACATTCCCATTCATGCAGCTCTTGCATTATTCAGCTGGGGCTGCCTCTCCTCATTCATGTCCCTATTTACCAGCTATCATCACTCTATTTTAAACCAAGAGGCTCCCCTTCCTGAGGAGAAGGGCTGGAGTCCCTCCTTGGCCTAGAAGGCCGCTCACAAACATTCTCTTCCCCATCTGCGGGCCAAGCACAGGGAGTCCACATTTCTACACGTCTGGCTGATCAGCGCCCTGCGTCTCCCCCTCCAAATCCACACTCTAGGCACTCTAGGACTCGCCAGAGAAGACAAGGACGACTCGCCAACCCTCGCCCGGACCCTGAGCAGGCTGCACTGTGAGCAAGGGCTGCCTCTGACCTGCCTGCACAGACTCCAAAGCCAAGGCTCCTGGCTCTTCTAGACTTTCCCGCTTGCTGGGGGGCTGGGAGGTACAGGTGGGAAACAAGCCCATTTTCCTTAAATAGCGCATATAAAGCATACCAGTAATTAGTTGTTCCCTAGATTAAAATCCTGCTGTGGATTTTAATCCCCAACACAGCAGTATCAGCTCTGCTTCCCAGGACCATTATCTTTAAAAATGCCTTAATGCGTACAAAGTGCTTAATAAATGTTTGCTAGGCTAAGTGGAAGAGGCTGAGTGGCCCCCAAGCAGGCGTATCCCACCTCCTGGGGGCACGCCTTCCTGCCACGCTTCCGTCCGGTGCATCCCTACATGCACGCTTCCACGGGCACACAGGGGGCGCCTTCCCATCTCCGCTCGCCCTCCGGCCGCCCGTTTCCTCCTTGCCTGCCTTCCCTTCTACTGCAACACAATCAGCTACCTCCTCTGCGACCTGTTGCCGTCATCCTCCATGTGTGTTCATTCCAGAAGCACTTCTGCCCCAAACCCGGGGAGACGTGCAGGAGAACACCGTGACGCCGCAGCCCCGTTTCTCCCCGC